GCCTATATGTTCTTCCAGACCATCATCTGCATCTATACAAAATCCGTTCACTGCTACTACTGACGTGTGGATGATCCCAAAGGTTCTCGCGGAAGATCAGTGCTGGTACTTCAAATAGGAGCATCCAGCATTTATAGCTGAGCGAGGACCCATTCCAGTCAGCATTGCAACGCTAATTTTAAATATTCCTTTTTCTCATTTCATTAGTTACGTATTTAATTACTTTTATTGATTCATAATTGTATTGTAGTGTTGATAAGGTTTAAATTATTTTTTTTATTACATTTTTCAGCCGTTTAGGCTATAAACTCTAAAACACATCCATCTAAGCTTTCGCATTTATAACATTAAAGTAAGATATCTTGTTTAGTACAATTCTCAAAAAACGAGTTACAATGTTGGACTCGCGTATTTTATCGTAAATCCACTGAAGTAGTAAAATCCGTATAATCCTCATCACTTTCTTCAACTCGAGTTGAAATCTGTTCACTGAAGTCGGAGGCATGTATAGTAATCCCTTGCAAAGCCCTTTATGACCCAAATACGATACATACTTACACTTTTTGTATCGGAATCCACACGTGAGATTATACTTGAAAATATAGGAAGGTATTTCTGTGTTGTAATTTAAATAATCTTATTTAATAAATGCGAAAGTTTTGATGGATGAATGTTGTCAATGTTGTCAACAACAAACAAGGATTTCGCTGAAATAGCCCAGTTGTAGAACAGTTTGGAAGAATACATAGGCTACTTACTGTTTTAATTGCGCGGACATAGTCGCGTGTGAAAGCAAGTAATTTGTATTTTAAAAATGTGGAAATTCGTATTCGTACTGTTTATCCAATTAAAAATTTTTACACGCGGTAACTAGACAAATAACAATTTCGTTGAATAAACACAATTTTGTATAAAACGATACTATTAATCATACTTATAAATGCGAAAGTTTAGATGGATGGATGTTTGTTAGAATTTGTAGCCTCAACGGCTGAACGGATTTCGATGAAATTTGGCACAGATGTAGAGGATAGTCTGGAAGAACACATAGGCAACTTGTATTTGTTTTTTAATTCCGCGTGGAGTCGCGGGTGAAAGCTAGTATGAAATAAATAATAAAGAAAAATTGTATAAATAGTCGATTTAAACGTTCCAGGGTATGTTTTCGTGTGGTCGATTAGGTCGTGGTATTGACGGTCGATTTAAGTGGCAACCGTTCGCCGAGGGGCATAAATCTGACCGGGGTCCATTTGACACACTCGTCGCAGCACACGGCCCGTTGGTTGTTCGGGTGACGATTTTACCAACGTTTATATGAGTTTTATTTGCTCGCAGTTTTAAAAAAAAGCAATCGCATTATTTAAAAGATTTGACTGCTGTTTTACTTGAAAGGATTTTCTATAGATTTGTGTTAGAAGCGGGCGGTTCGTGTTTGACTCAACAATCGCACAACTGTTGTGAAATTGTCGATTGTTTCACAAAAATCGAGTAGTGTCCGCACCTCAAAATCGAGACCAAACAGTTTTGTAATAGTTTAGTCAGAGGTGGTCGCGCTTTAATTAATTTGTTAACCACGTGGCATTTTTAAAAGTAAATAACAATTCAGTGTTTACAGCTCGGCAAATAATAAACGACAAATTGTTACAGAAATTAATTTGTAACTATCTTATCTAGTTAAAGCCGCAGTCTCAATATCACTAGCAAATGATTTCATTACAGACGTTCTGTTCGACATACATAGTCCCCGCGACATGTAACATACTATATGATGTAATCTAATCATAACGTCCCCCAGCCCATGGGGAAGGGGAGGGGAAGGGAGTCGGGAGTCCTCCCCTCCCCCAGCATCCCAATGTCTGCATGACGACTTTATTTATGATGTGTTTTAACTCACTACAACTTTCATTATGGCGTAAATATTCAACGTTCTACTGTTTGCAAGTGAATCGATTGCTTTCCAGCACAAACATATCGCATTTCCATGCGATGTATTAAAAAATAGACATTAAATAGACTTATGCTGAGCTGTACTTATCAATACTAATGTAATAAAGCGTAAGGAAATCCTATTTTGTGGCGTAAGATGTCAGCAATAACAGTATATTTTTGAATATTTCTTTCTTTAATAAAAAGCCCTGTACTGACGTCACGCTTTACGCTATATTTTTTCACGCTATTAAACTTAGGGGGTAAATAAATTGGAAAAAAAGCCATCATTTGGGAAAGGGACAATAAAATACGAGCTGCCAAATTAAGGAAGCAAGATTATTATAATAAACTAAATTCTTACTAATTCCATGGGGATGAAGCCCCACCGGAACAGCTAGTCTTATTAAGAAATGCGAAAGTTTAGATAGTTGCATTGATGTTTGTTGGTTTATAGATTAAATGATCATCGTTCTGATCAACAACACGTTCTAGTAATGATTATGAATACTGAGTAAGAGACAGAGTAAATTACTATGTAAGTTTCTTATGTAAAAAATGTTTAAATTATTTTCAAACATTTGGAGTTGCTCTCGGTTGCACGTTAGGGAGCACTCGACTGGTTGTCTCCGGAAAATGCAAATCGCAAGTGCTATCCACGCTGTATCGCTTTTAAACAGATGCATTATACGTTACGTTAATGACGTCGCTTCAGAGAGTCTACCAACTGTATAGCAAGTGATAGTGCCCGCTTTGTTATACACAGAATGGTAGGTAATTTCTTTTCAAGCTTTTAAGAACTTTACAACGAATGTATATCATGGCCGAAATAAGACGTTTTCAACACGAAGAGCGCACACCTTTGACTAAACTGTCGCACAATTTGGTCTCTCTTTCATTCATATCAACTTATATGGAGGTGCACACTACTCGATTTTTAATTGTCCAACTAAACAGTTGATTTGGCTGAAACAATCGACAATGGCACAACAGTTGTGCGATAGTTTAGTCAAAGGTGTGCGCCCCCTCTATGAAATTAATTTCGTATTTTTACGTCATCTATTTTATCATATTAAAGCGTAAACAAACACCTCTTTGTTGCCTAAGATCTCAGCAATTACAGCATATTTTTGAATAATTCTTTTTTTAATAAAAACCCCTACACTTAAGTCAGGCTTTAGGCTATATATTTTCACGCCATTAAACTTAGGGGGTAAATATTTTGGATAAATACCTAGCGTGGGAATGAGACCTTAAGTTGCTGCCAACATCAAGGAAGCAAGGTTGTCATCATGTCATGTCATTTTGACATTTGCAATTGATAATTTGACAAATGTAAACTATAAAATAATGTTTTTATAATTACCTGCGGATGAAGCCGCACGGGGACAGCTAGTGTTCTTATATTTTTTCTTCGCAACATATAAGATTAGACATTTCTTAAATGGCAACCCTACCTTTCTCTGGTAATAATTTTCTAACAATCTTTTTGCAATTTTATTTTTCAATATCGTCTAGTTTGCGGTTAACGAACAGTTATTAATGCTTCAGGGGTGTTTAAAGCGAAGCAGGGGCGGTCAATGCGGGCCCGATCGGGCGTGCTACGAGCATCTACAACGTCCGACTCATTACGTCCACGGTGTAATGTAACAAATGGTTTGCCAGCCCTGGCGGCTGCCGGCGACAGCGCGGTTTGCACTCG